TTTTTTTTTTTTTTTTTTTTTTTTTGGTGCATCAAGAACAATGAAAAGATTGTCATCCAAGATATTGTGCTCTGTTACAGGCAAAACCATTCATGTATTGAATAAGAATGAGCATGCGATTGACATGGCTGGACCTGTTCATGATCAGCTAGGTGATGTTAATGGGCTAACAGCTGATTTCTCCTCTGTGAAATCGAGAACGAATGTTCTGCTGCTTGGTGATCACATTGGAGATCTGGGAATGTCTGATGGTTTAAACTACAATACAAGGATATCAGTAGGATTCCTGTAAGTGTCAAATACTCAGACAGCAATCATGAAGTATGCTTCATCCACAGCCATACATTTTGTCATTATGCGAGTAGCATTATTGTAAATCTGTTTTCATCATTATCATCATAAAAGTGCTATAAATTTTGAATGAAACACAGGAAATATTTGATAAGGCTTGAAACTTCAAGTTACTAAACCTCTTATGATTAAATTTTGATGTTCAACTTAGCAATTGAATATCAATCAATTCGTTTTCGCGGTTTTTTTTGTCTTTTTGGGCGATGTTTTCCAGCATTGTCGAGAAGAAAAACGGGGTAATAAATGCTAAGCATTACTAAAATGAAAGGTTTGTTTAGTTTGAGTTGATGTCTGGTCTTAACTAGGTTTGGTTTATTAATTCAATTAGGACATGCTTGTTTATAAATTCAATCCAAAAAAATCCAATCATTTTTAACTCAATCACTTTTTTTAACTCAACTTTAACTCAACTCACTATCATCAATATAATTAAATAATATCAATCAGTCAACCCACTATTATCAATATTATCAATATAATTAAATAATATCAATCAATCATTCTTACACACAACATCAACCTTAATTTACTATTCATCTACTCACATAATTTTAACTAACCATCACATCACATCTTCTCTCTCCTACCTTTACATCAATTTAATTTTAATCATTTCATTTTAAAAGTTATTTTAATATACTCACTAACAATTAATCATACCAACTTTTTCAAATTTAACCAACCCAAACCAAAAACTCAATCAAAACCAAAAAAATCTATAAACAAGCATGCTCTAAGTAACTGTTCTTTAGTTTTGAACTCTTTCATTTCCCTTTTTCAGATTTTGCACTTCGACATGTCTGATTAATTATTCTGTTACTAGATATTGGCAAAACTAATAACCTGATCCAATTATGTTGCTAGAAGTCTGAAGCTTTTTTAATAAGAACTTGATCCATGCTTGAGATGGTTTATAAGTCCCAAGCTTCAAGTTGGTTTTAAGTATTCTACTCACCTTACTTTTGATTTTGGATGCTACTCTTTTTTATTAATAATTATGTTTTCGTGTGATCTAAGCATAGTGATTGGAAAAATTATGACCGTCTGGTGCGTTCTGGGCACTACAATGATACTCAGATGTTAATTTTATTTACTGATATGGGTGAAAAATTAACGTGTTGATTATACATTTTCATGTTGGGCTAATTACCAAAACAAAAGGAGGAAAATTAAGCTCCAATATTCTCCCGGTGAAGGCTTTGTAGTGCGCAGTGCACTCTGAAAATGCATTGCGTATATCTTAATTGTGTCACTGCTGAATGAGTTTTTTGGTTCCAAAATATTATTTTGTGTTCCTTAAATGTCGACACTTTGCTGAAGTTAGTTTGTCTTCTGAACCAGCGGATGTTTTTTGTCTTCTAGAAGTTCCTTCTTGTTTTTCTGATAGATGATCTACTTTTTCCATATGGTACTCAAAAGTATCTTCTGTTATATTTGTTATTTTTATGATTTTATCCATGGTTGATAAATGAGTTCTGGACATTGAATGAACCTTTGTATGATTTTTAGTTCTCTCCTCCTTGTTAAATACTTATTGCAGGAATGACAACATCGAGAGTTCCAGTGATAGCTATCGCAATGCCTTTGACGTTGTATATCTGGTAAGAACAGAAACTTTGGGAGTTTAAGCGTATTCTGTTTGTCAAGGGTAATAAGTAGGTTTAGTTTGTCCCACCATTTGTGGTCTTAGTTTAGATTTTTGCCTTACGATTTTCTAGAATTTTGGGCATATAAAATATTTGCAAATGGCATCATTGGTGGTGCACTCCTGTAAGCACCATGAGTGAACTTGTTCAGAGCCCTTGTGGCATTCCTTGTTGTATCATTAGTCATTCCGCCTTGTTTATCAATTTTCTATGTGCCAATGAATGAAATAATAAGCACATTTCTTATAAGATTATCAAGAAAGATTGAACGGTTTGCAGTTGATTATGTGCTTTCTTTTTCCTTTTTAAATCACCAACCAAAGTTTTTCCTTTGCAATACAAATGACCCATTTCCAGAGAATTCTTTGTTGAGATTCTATCGACGGCCATGCAGAAGAGTTATGTAGTGATACTTTTTTTTGGTGAATTGATCACTTCTTTCCCGCCTAGTCTTATTCACAATAAGTGAAACAGAATGAGAGATTAAGTCCTAGTATTCTCTGTTTTGTTCTGCTATCCCGGAGTAATTCTACTGATAGAATTCCCCACAATTTGGCAACTTGATTTCATAGCAGGCTAGGTGCAATAATGATGACATTGTTTTTTAAATCCTCCAAGTGGATGACGAGAGAGAGAGATTCAATCCTGTTATTTTCTATTTCCTTTTTTTTTTCTCCTTTATAATATTTTTATTTTTACTATGATAACTCTTTGTTGGAAACATAATTTGTCTCTGAATTTCAATTAAGTTGAAGCAACAAAATGATTTCATTTGCATAATGTCATATTTAGTAGAACGATACAACATTTTCTGGTATCTTTGCAGAATGATGCTCCCATGTGGGGAGTAGTTAAGCTTGCATCTCAGCTTTGTTCAACTGTGGGTGATTAAGAGGTAACAACTAATCCTTTTTTTTCCAAGTCATTCTAATGAAACGGATTAGTTTGCCTAAACTAAGGCCCCACCATCGAAAACGTCAGAAAACATCTAGAAAAAAACAAATCTTTTTTGGTTTTAACCCTGCCACATAGAAGGAAAAGCTGCTATTCTTTTTACAAAGCAATTTTTTCAAAATTCCTTTCTACAATGCAGAATGATTTTCTTGTTGATCTTGATGCAGGTGATGGGTCAAACCTTCGATTATCAAGTATTGCATTGAACATTTAATTTCCTCTACATATTACTATCAACCCGTCACTCACCAGCTTGCACTATCTATTGAAGTGCACTATTTTTTTCCATTGAAATTTCTTTGACCACATTGTGCTTATAGCCATCAATGACATCCACACTCATAAGCAATTGATAGCCTCAGCATCTCCATAGTTTCACCAATGAAACTTAAACTTCAGTTTGCAAATACAGAGGTGGTTTCAAGGATAAATAGATAGAGGAAGTGATTATGTGTATTGTATTGGTTTACGTTTTCAATAAAATTGGACGTAACATGTTAAAAAAAAAAAAAAAATGCTTGGAGTAGACACTGTAGCATAGATCATAAGTTGGCATGCCTCACCTCTTCTGAATATTGGAACATCCAGAAAGGTTTCGTTTCATTCATCTGTATACTTCGTCATATGCTCTAATTTTGCTGAATTGGTACCCACTGATCTTGAGAAATCACAAGAAAAATGTTTTGGTATCATGTCTATACACTAGTGATGCTATTCATGATAATGTAGAAACCTCCATTCTCACCCTAAAAATAAAGAAAACACAAGTTTCTTAGTCGAAGAGCCCAAAACACAACAATAAAGAATATAGGGAAATTTTTAGTCCTCCTATAAGATTTACAAATATTTTCAAATTTACCTTCATATGAAAGTATTTTCAATTATACCTAATGAAACTACTTTATTTATGAGATTACATCAATAGCAGTTACCATATATATTCAACTTCCAATAATTGCTAAATAACGGTTACATCTGATAATTCTACATCTTAGGTATAAGTGTAATATTTTATGCTTGTTTTGGTAATTTTATAAATAAAAAAATAATTGGTATAAAGGTGTAATATTTATCATTACTTATTGTAAGGAGTGCAATTTCCTCTAAAGAATATATAAGTTTCAGTTCGTCGGAACTCCCAAATACATGCACTAGGGATTGTAGAAAAATTGATTTTGAACCGATTTTACGGTTTCATTTGTCGCAAGTGAAATATTTAAAAAATTCTCAAAACCATTTTAGGATTAAAAAGAAATGAACTCTAAACCGTATAATAAATGCAACAAATGAATTTAAGTAAATCAAATTATTGAATTCGCTTTGACGAATATGACGAATATTGGAATAACTCAAACGAACCAAAGGGTTCGTTAAAGACGAGTAAAAAGTATACAACCAATCAAAACCGATTTTAATTTGTAGCACATCGCCCCTCACCATTCCTACTTAATAAGAAAATCATAAAAATGATGATCTTTTCTCAGAACATTGAACCCCAAAACTTATTTAGCCCACAACACAATTACAAAAGTACATTTTTTGAGAATGAAATTCCTCATTATGTTATACAGGAGAGGTACACACACACACACACATACCGTCTATCAAGCTACATTATCGTTGTTTTAATTTGAAATCAACACGAGGCAAACAATGTCCAAAATTGAGACTCCAAATTTATGCTAAAATAACAAACACATTATAGAAATCCAAAACAAGCCAGCCAATATAGAGAAAAGACCCAATAATCCCTTTACTTCTTGCGATTCTTGCTTCTGCTGATCTTGACAATTTTCCGACCTGACCTGTCACCTCCGCCACTGCCCAACGAGAAGCTCCCTCCCGCATTGAACTCCAGACTGCCCGAAGCCTGAAACGGGTTAGGATTCTGAGGTGGTACAGCACCACCAACTTGATTCTGCTGACCGCCGAAAACAAACGAGCTGGGCTGTCCGAACGCAAAAGCAGGGGGAGGAGTAGGGGCCACCGCCACCCCCGACTGACCAAATATCGAGGGAACAATGGGCTGCTGCTGCTGCACTGGATGATCCTCGGCCATGCTATCCTCTGCATTCATCTGGTCTGCACCACCAAATACAGATGGCGCAGGCGTTGAGGCGGCTGCAGTGAATGAGAAGGGTGCAGCCGATGATGTCGTATTGAAAACACTCGACGATGACGACGATGGTGCCCCAAATGGGAATGCGTTGGAGGAACCAAAGATTGGGGATGGCTTCGGGTTTTGCCAGTTGGCAGCAAAGGGATTGCTGTTGCTAGGAACACTGGAGGAGGAGGGAGCCGAACAACTATTCCCACCAAATGAGAGCACATTAGCAGTAGCAGTGGTAGTGGTACTCACAGGGGTGGAACATGATGAGCTGTCAGAAAAATTGTGTACAGGAGTAGCACTGCTAGATCCAACTCCGGTGCGGCTGGTTGAAGAACTTAGGCCAAAAGTAAAGCTGCCAGGGGTGGTAGTGGTAGTGGTAGTGGTAGTAGTAGTAGTAGTAGTAGTTGAGCTAACTGCAGTTGCTTCCGTAGAGTTAGCGCCGAATTTGACTGTACTTGTGTCTGATGAAGACGCGGGACGACTCAAACCAAAAGAAAAGCTTGGTTCTGAAACTTGGGAACCAGATGAGGAACTGAAAAGCGTGCTGCTACTGCTCAAGTTGAATGCTGGGGCAGATGAGACTGCCTTAGTGGATGACACGTCTTGCGAGGCAGTCCCAAATACGCTTGGGAAACTGACAGATGAGCCAAGTCCGAGAGTGGTGGTGCTACTTGCGGAACTAGCTACTGTAAAAGCTGCAGCATTGGTAAGAGTCTCACTTTTGTTGGTTCCAGGATTTGACTCTGCCTGAGAGACGCTAGCAGTAGATGCTACAGGAACAGAGGTGTCTGGATCTACAACAGAAGCACCAAACTTGATGACCGGGCCGCCAGCAGGAATTGAAGGTTCTGCTGCAGTCAGTCCAAAAATGGAGGTGCTGCCACTGCTGGCTGAAGAGTTGAATGGGAAAGCACCAACACCCTTGACTATCTGATTTGTGTCATTAGAGACAGCTGCAGTAGTAAATGACATTGCAGGAGCCCTAGAACCGAGAGATGGTCCATTTGATGCCGCAAAATGAAAGGTATCAGATTTTCCATTTGCATTTCCTGCCTTCAAAAGGTTGGGAGGACAACTTTTGTCCAACTCAGGAACTTTGTCTTGGAGTACAGTTGAAGCATTAACCAAACTGCACACCAAGTTATTGTAGAAAAAATACACGTATACATATTAATATCCAAATAAAAATAATCTGAAAAAGAACAACACTTGCTCCAGAAAATATGCATAATTGTTTCCTTTTGTCAATCAACAATTAACACCAATTATATCATCGCAGATCGCATGCAAGATGATGTTCCAACATAACTAGTTCAACTTATATTCATACTCTGCACGTGCTTACAATTAAAATTTAATGAGTGCTGCCTGTACTCAAAGAAGCCAAGAAAGTCCGTACTTGCCTCTAATTAAGTGAAAACAGCAGATACACAAATGACAGTTAGGAATTTTGAAGTGTTCTAATTTTTATTTTTTAAAGACCAAAAGTAGAATAGAACTCTAGGAAACAAATGCAAAATAAAATTCCTCAAGTAGCAGCTTATGGCAAGGTGGAAGCAAGTACGAGACAGAAACAAATTTCATATTCAGATTATAACCTGCTGGAGACTTCAATCTTATTATCCACCTCGATAACATCAGAAGGAACGGAAGCAACCTTTTCAGCAACTTTAGAGCTAAAGCTGAACAATGGAACATTACTTGCATCCTTGGGCTTGTCAGATGAAGCAACAGAGGGAGTAAGAAAGGCTGATTGCGAAGCTTCCTTTATTTCGTCTGTTGTTGACAAGGAAACAACAGTACTTCCTTCTCCAGATGTGACATCACCAAAATTTGGTGCACTTGTGTTCCTTGAGATAAGGGGCAAAGCTGACTGGTTTTCCTCCCTCATTGACGGCTTTACCAGCTTGGGTTCTTCAGAAGGCGTAATCTTCCTATCTGTGAGAGTGGCCTCCGTTGGTCCTTGGTTTCCGGAGGTTGATACTGGTACAGGTCCATTACAATGTGTATCATCATCCTGCTCGGAGAAATCCTACCAAAATAGGCTAAAACATTAGTAGGATTAGGATTACAAGATTCATCATATGATATAACTATGAACTAATTTCATTTCTCTTTGAGATTTTGTAAAATTTTATGTCAACACAGGTGAATATGCCCTAAGATGACATACTAATAATACTATATATACTGATATACAGTCAGTTAACTGACTGCCAGCAAGAAATGAGACCCAAACTTTAACATGTGGCCAACATCTCAACAATAAATGAACAGATATTATCACATAATCATAGACCAACTCAAGCGATAAGAAACAGAAATGCAGGCACAACAAGATAGCACAAAAAAAAAAAAAAAAAAAAAAAAAAAATCACCTCTTGAGCACTCATCCTAAAAACCCTCTTCTTTTGAGGATGGGATGCACCAGTTTTTACAATAGAACCACTAGCACTGGTACTTGGCATAGAGGCTTTCAAGGACACCACGGAATCATTATGCAATACTGGGTGCCACTTGTCCAATGAGTCGACATGTTCTTTAGGGCCATTTTCCTCTATTTTTTCTTTATTTTGCATACAGAAATCATAAGCATCAGCTAAAGTGGCATTACACTTGTCCCCCAACATATGATCATCCTGAACATCCAACAACTTTGACGAATCCACATCCTCCATACTCCTAAGAGCCTGTCCAGAAAGCATACTTGGTGTCAATGTCAGACGTGATTTCTCCGTCCGATCAACAAACTTGGACTCTGATGATTTTTCTTTTGGGGTCATCTTTTCCAGGTGCTGCAATATTTTGGAAGCAACTTCACTAGATTTGGAAGGTACACGAGGATAACTGGAGCTTGGTACACCTTCATTATCATTTTCTCCAACAGCTTTGGGTGTTTTATGGCTTTGTTCACTGATCAATTGAGACTTCTGCTTTGCATGGGAACCTATTCTTACCCCATGCGTAGTACTATGAAGTCCAGAAGCTAACAAATGTTTCTGTCTAATTCTCCTTATAGGACCCACGGAGGAACCAAGCTCATCATCTAAGACTGAACTCCTCCGTTTTAAGCTCTGGAACAGAACATATATGAAATTAGAACCCGGGAGAAAAATATGTAGAAATTAAATGTCTCAGATCCTCATATACCATCGCAGGAGAGTTAACTTTTTCATCAATGTCCGCTGGAGAAAGAAAAGATGAGGATGTTGATAGTCCAGGTCCAGCATAACCATTGCGATTAATTCCATTTCCCTGAAAGTAACCAAATATTAGTATAAAATTTTAGAAGGAAGGGAAAAGCCACATATACGATACAATTAACATGAAATGAACCTTGAGACTGGAAGTTAGGTGAACTTTGGAATATGGTGTACGAGCCATGTTGTAGATAGCCGATCTGCCGCGTGGTCTAGGGGTTATGAAGCCATTGTCGGTAGCAGCCATGCTGCCATGGGTCTTCATAGTCGATGCCATGATAGGTAACCCTGAGGCAGATGGCAAGCTACTAAGCAACTCCGTATCTCCCTTACCAACTCGATTGCGTATTCCTAGCACTGATGGCAATACTTTTGAAGGCCTACTTCCCATATAAGCTTTTGCAAGTTCAGTAGGAGAAGCATCACCATCCTCAACAACCTGTAAGCATTTTAAATAAGTCATTCTGGGAGACCGGCAGTATGAAGACCACAAGACAACCATGGACCAATAATAGTGAGAGAGGATGCATGTGCAACTTACTTTTGAGTTGAAAATAGGAGTAGACATTAAAGTGGAGGATCTATTCCTCCCATTTCTGTTCTCTTCCAAGAGCCCACTCGCAAATTGGTGATCTCTTGCATAATCTGAAGCAGTATCTTCCTTTTTATGGCCAACATCCACAGGAGATACTTCTGTAGCTCTTGATTGCAGTAGGTCTCTCAAATGAACAATTTCAGACCTGCACCCACAAATTTCCTATTAATAATCAACCTTCACAAAGAAAAGCATATTGTAACATATACATGCTGTCTAAGGACTTGAAGCAAAGAGACCAATACCACACAGGAAAGAAATCATTCTTAAAAAATAAATCAAATATTCTGCGGAAGAAAAAAAGTTAATCCTAAAGTATAATGTATACATAAAAAATCTTGGGTGATACATGTTAAGATTAAGATTTATTTAATACTTAAAAGTCAAGATAAACATACTAGACATTAACAGATATGTATTTCAAACTAACAAAAAAAAAATCCGAGTGATTAATCACAAATAACAGTTCTTTATTAAAAAAAAATACAACTTAATGACAGTTCTTTCAAAAGAAAAACAAAAATAAAAAGTAAAAAGTAAAAAATCATCAATGACAGAGAAGGAAAATTAAAAGAATAGCAATATCCACTGCATGGGCAAAAAGATGCATGACAAAATAACTTGAGCAGATGGGACGAAGACTTATAGCTCAACCCTCCCAAATTCCTTATTAAACCTTACCTGGTGAAGGTTCTTTGCTTCAATAATTGCTCAAGCTCAGAGATGTCATTGCTGCTAGAACTATTGATTGGCTGACTGCAATCACCACCTACGGGCTCATGGGAACCATCATGACTCTACAAGCAAAAGGTTATTAAATGGTTTACTCTAGCAATGCAAAATAACATGTTCTCTGTAGAGGAGGAATATAGTGATACCAGAAATATTGACAACAGCTACCGAGGCTACTACCTCGCGACTACAATAGAAGTCCTAAGGAAGAACCTAACAATATTGAAATGTACAATCAATCATATAAAACTTTCATAAGAGATCTACCAATGATAATCAGATGGGAGTCAAATTAAAAGGCATAAATATGAAACTCTGGTGACATATTTCGAACACAACTACGCCCATTAAAACTCATGAATGACCCTAGTCCGGAACTACCATAACTCTACAACACATATATTTTTGAGTTCTGCTTTGAGAATAGATCATCAAAATTAAAGCTCTCTTAAGAGATCTACCAATGATAATCAGATGGGAGTCAAATTAATAGACATAAATATGAAACTCTGGTGACATATTCTAACACAACTACGCCCATTAGAACTCAGGAATGACCCTAGTCCAGAACTACCATAACTCTACAACATAAATATTTTTTAGTTATGCTTTGAGAGTAGATCATCAAAATTAAATTCTCCTGTCATGTTTACCCAAAAATCCTAACTAATGCACGTTAAACATTCAAGCAGTTTAATTCAAACATAAAGGAAGCATTTACTATTTAGATACTACCTAGTAACTTTTAAACTAAGGCTATGTTTGCTTGAGTAGATAGGATTAGACTACATTTATCGCATTTAAGAGGATTGCACTGTTTAGGATTTTTTACATCTCATGTTTGTTAACTTGATGGGATTTTGTTTGAATAAATACAGAAATTAGGAAATGTCTAAATGTACAAATAATATTTTATTCACTTATTTTTTTCTTCCATTCTTTTCCTTTATCATTCTTAACCATTTTCTTTCCTTTCTCTTCTGCAGAATCTGCACATTAACTTATTTCTTTTTTTTTTTCTCTTGTTTCATTTAATTGGTAGGGTTTTATTTTTTCTCTCCTATTCTTTTCCTATATCATTCTTTTTTTCTTCTTGAATAATTCTTTCGTTTCCTCCTCTCTTATCATATTTTTGGAGTTGCCCCATCACAATTCTAGCTTTCACCTAGAATTGCCAATGGATGTGGATTTTCTTCGATGAAGATACGAACAAGCGGCAGGGTGGCAGATTTTCCTTGAGGAATTTATTTATTGAGTTGAATAATTGAAAGATGAATTGAATGATGAAGAGATGCGATTGAGATGGGGATGGCGATGGAGAGAAAGAGAGAGTGAAGACGGTGGGGCTGACGGAGTGCACCACCTACGTGTGGTGAAAGAAGAAAAAATGGAGGAGAGATGAAGAAAAGGATAGGGATGTGGGGATAAATTGGTCATTTCATTCTCCCATAAAGGTAGGATAAAAAATATCTCACCTCAACCTCGAGATTGAGTTATCCTACATACTCATGATTAACTTATTTAGTAGCGGGCCAAAGGTTTTTTTGCGGGCCTCAATTTATGGTACCAAACATAGGATAAGGTCATGATTGGGGGTGTTATCCTATCTAATCCAGTGTAACAAACTAGGCCGAATCTTAGGAGACCACATTACCTGCCAAATTGTGTAAGACCAATAAAGTAAAATTATTTGACCAAGCATTTTTACCAAGAAATTTATAAACCGTAATACATCAATAAGACTATGAGTGGAGAAAACATGAAAGGAAATTCAAAGTCTTAGAAGTATCTTCGCATGCACCATAAATCTCTAACATACACTTAAATAAATCAAAACTTCAACTATTTGCACGTGATGCAACGTATTCACTGCCTAGAGTCACTAACTTCAATTGAAAGTATCAAAATGGTTCACTTGACCTGCATAATCACATACATGAAACTACTCACAGAAAACCCCCACCGCTGGAAAAGAATACATACATGATTGTTTTCCATTACAATAGTAACAACTGTCCAACACTATGCTGAAGTTACAAGTTCTACATAAAGCAAAAGTGGCATAGAGCATTAAAACAGGACAGCATGTTCTTTCAAATCACCCTTAGTTTTCACCAATACATACAAAAATAACAAACAAACAAATAAATCCCTAGGTAACCAGTATAACACAGAGGTCAACAACATACTGGATAAAAATAAGAAAGATATAAAAACATGAAAAGCATATGATCAAACTTACATCAAGAGCTGGCCCTTGAATCCCATCACCAACATCAGCTTTTTCCTCTGTTACAACAACAAATGATGTCAAAAGATATTCCACGAAGAAATTAAAGATATTCCACCAAGAAGTTAAACTACATTGTGCACTACAAAACAATAGCAATTTTAAAATTTTCAACCTCAGAGCTTACTTATAACAAGTACTATTGTGCAACTAGAGTTAAACAATCACGGAATGGCCAAGTAACATGCTACAAAGCCCTTTACAAAAGATCAATTTGTGCATAGTTTGAGACCTAATCACTCTTACTTAAAACTAAAAGTTTTAGATATTGAACAAGTGATTTGAAAAGCAGAAAATCCCCAAGATCGAGGCAGATCTAGCAAATATCTGGTATTTAATCCATTTTAAATAGTCAAAACCAAGCAATACAATTAGAAAGAAAACCTTAAAAACATACAAAATGGTTGTCATTTCAACAAAACAGTAGGCAGCTTCAAAATCAAAATCAAACTCATCAAACTCCACATTCTCAAAATATTTCTCCTTGCAAAAACAATCAGAATTACACAAATCAATAACAAAAAAATGAAAAAAAAAATCCCTGAGAAATGGACATTCAGGTTCACCAATTACCCTAATCAGATTGAAATAGATCAGAAAGGAAAACATTTTCAAAAAGTTCATAAACAAAAAAAAAAAAAAAAAAAAAAAAAAAAAAAAAAAAAAAAAAAAAAAAAAAAAAAAAAAAAAAAAAAAATCAAGGTAGCTCAAATAGAAACAAAAGGTAAGACCAACCCTGCAAAATTAAAGCAGAACAAGCAACAGACAAAAAACACTTTCTGGAACCTGAATTACAAAATACATATATAACCTGGCGGCTGAGGAGGGGGGAGGCGCTTGCGAAGAAGTGGGGCGAAAAAACGCTCTGCCCCATAAGATATGAGCTTCGAGGCGGGCTCCACAACCAGCTTTCTTAACCAGCTGCTATTGTTGTCATTGTTTCCTCGGAGCGCAGTGGGTGGACGATCGTACGGTGTCGTCGGTCTGCGAAAAGGCTTCTTGCGGAACTTTCCTCCTGCTCCTCCACCACCGTAGGGCGACGAGGTTGGATGGACAGTGGCTCCGCCTTCTTCCGCCGTCGCCATTTGTTTGATTTTGAAGTTTAGCGTCGTAGGGAGGGAGAGGAAGTGCAGGTATCAGGGGCAGACAAATTAGGGTTTTTATTTTGGGTTTCGCGTAGAGAAAATGGTAGCATCAAGGAGATACTATTATAATTATAATTTAGAACTAAAACTACAAATATTGGAAAATTTCGCGTAGAGAAAATAATAGCAGTAAGGATACATGTTGGCATTATAACTAGTATAGTATGCATTTGTTACATACTTAATTTTAAAAAATGTATGTCATATTTTATATGGCATTACAAATATTATACAAATGAAATTTAACTGTTATTGAACACTTCTTTATGTACAACATTTTTTGTTTGATTCTTTGTCACGTAAAGTACTATATGACTATTTGAATTTTATGTAAAATTGCATATTATTAGTTATTAGTTAACAACTTACGTTTTTATTTTTAAAAAAAATTAAGGGAGCTTATTTCTTGAACAAGTTCTAGTAGAAAAAAAACTAGAAAAATTTAGGGATTTTCACACCGTTATAACTTTTTTTTTTAAAATCTAATTCAAAATTTTGATTAAGAAAAATTGAAAAGAATCATTAATTTTTCCTAAAAATAAAATTGATTTCCCTACCAATACACTGATTTTTTTACCAAATAAATTGATCCGGATATTTGATTACAACAAAGTGAAAAAAAATTATCAATTTTTCCTACAAATGCAACCGAAATTTTCTAACATTGCACCGATTTTTTTACCAACCAAATTGAATTGAAATTCATTTTAACAAAAAATTGGAATAATTTGTTAAGAATTATGCAACTGTTTTTTTTCATAAACAAATTTATATGAACTGAACAAATTTATAAGAAAAACAAACGAATATAAATGATAAAGTGCGAAAATATTATGTGATAAATTATGCGACATAAAGACGAAAATAAATTATAAAGTTCGAAATATTTACGATATGATATCATATGCGACACAGAAGCGAAGTTCATTGAGTAAAGTGCTAAATAATTATGCGAGAAAACATACAACAAACAGACGAAGTTTATTGAGCTAGAGAGACATTAAGTATGAGACATGCAACCTAAGTTCATTGAGCAAGTACCGAAAAAATTATGAGATAAAGTATACAACAGACATGCAAAATTAATTGAAAAAGCGCAAATTATGCGACAAACATGCGAAATTCATTGAGAAACTGTAAAACAAATTGTGCGAAAAAGTATGCAACAGACATACGAAACTAATTGAGCAAGTGCGAATTACTTATGCGATCAACTACGCGACAAACAGACAAACACAATCAAATAAGTTAGATATCATTATGCAGGAATTTACATATCCAGAGCCGACGAAGAAGATGAAGGCCAACTTTTTTTTAATTTTTCTTTTAGTTTGTAGATAGAAGGGTAATGTTGCAATTAAACAAAATAATCCCAATGTTATCAATTTTTCCAAGCACACAATGGGACATTAATCCCAGTCCCAATCCCAACAATATATGACCTAACAAACATTTGAGTTAATAAGCCAAACAGTGATTCAGAACCCAAAAAATAATCAAATTCCATCCCAAAAAACAAACGAGCCCTCATAGTATAGAAAAGCAATAATGTTCTTGGAATTTTTAAATAAAATCAGAGCAAACCTACTTTTGAAATCAACTTCAATGCAAATCTACTTTTGAAAAAAAAAAAAAAAAAAAGAAGAAGAAGATGGGGCAATGAGTGTTCAAATTCTTCAAGAGTTTAAAACTGCCGATGCAGCTATCATGCTTGGTGTACGGAGAGCAAGTATAGATTCACTCTGGTTCAAGTTGTCAGTTAATCTTCTCTGAGGATGAAGCAAATTTAGAAACTGCCCAGCAGTAGAAAGCTGTTTATGGCGAAGGCTCTCGTCATGCATCAACTCCCTGCAGCACAACAATTCCTCAGCATTATTTTTGTATAGTAATTCTTTTACGAAGACCCTGTTTGCATTTAAAGAGATAAGTAAATGGATACACTACTACTATAGCGTAAAAGGGACTTACACGAGAAGTAGTGCTAATCGTGAAGGAGTGCATGCGCCAAAGAGAGCTTCAGGGATTATGGGCGAATCGAATATGATATTCGGAAGTGAGATATGAGGTATTCTAGCTTTATAACGGATGAACCATTCAGTTAGGATATGGGCTCGATACGCAACAACACAAGGTAACCGAGCAAGCTGCAGCTCCACTGCAACAGTCCCTGACGCACACAATGCTACTCTACTAGCCTGCATCACATTCATGTTTACTTATAATTAACATTATTACTCAACTGGATTATATAAAACAACTATTGTTCAAGTGCAAACCTGCATCCTGTTAAGTGTAGTTTACCTTTATATATATAGTAAATAAAATTACAAAAGAATCAAAAGATATCAACATGAGTCCACATTCCACTGATGGAATAATGCATACTTATAAAATTGATCATTTTCTGAAATTCACGGAGAATAATAATGCTCATATGATCCTAGTGACTTATTGAAAACAATAGCAAAGTTGCACTCAAATGATACAAACAGCTGCAGGCAAAGTTGCACTCATATGATCCTGGTGACTTATTGGAAACAATAGCAAAATCCTCGTCGATGGCGACTTATATTAAAGATTGAGATTACCTACTAAAATTGGTAAGGGAAATAAATATAAGTCTTTGTTCAAATTGTGTGGGTTCAGCTACATAGATCAGTAGTATATAAATAGCAATTCATTCAGTTCACAACAACCCGAAAAAGCTACCTACCTTACACAGCCAAGCAAGGAATGAATAAGCCATATTGGATAATCAAAGGTGTCTACTGGTCCACACATACAATAAGTATTCCAAAAACTAAGGGCGTGCTTGTTTATAAATTATTTCACTCTCATTCAATTCATACTCAAAATCTAATTCAATTTGAACTCAATCTCACTATCCTTAATGTTATTAATATAATTAAATAATACAAACCAATCATTCTTACACATCACATCATCTTTAATTCCTATTCATTACTCACATAATTTTAACTAACCATCACTTCACATTATCTTTCTCATACTTTTTATATCAAATCAACTTTAATTATTTTATTATAAATTTAAAATCCCACTAACAACTAACCATACCACATTTTCCAAAATTAACCATAGTTAACAAAAAAAACTCATTTTGAGCGGATTATTTTGTAAACAAGCACGCCCTAAGCCATCTACACAATAATTATACAGTGAATGACAAACGAGGATGATAAGATCAGCGCCAGGCAGAAAGGTTTGAACCATTAAACAAAACTGAAAGCATCCAGTCAATATCCCAAAGGCAAATTTATTCTATCATTCCAACTTTTATAAATCACACATTTTCCTTGCATGAAGTAAATGTTACATTCATCTATCTGAAGCATGTGGACCTTACACTAAAAGAATCGTACTTCATGCATGATGATCCACCTGGAACCAATATGGCTGATACAGGCCACTGACGAACTGCACTACTGATGTATTCTTCTACATGCTTATTAGGTGCCACATGGATAACAGCTGTCAACTTAGAGAAGGCATCTTTGAGCAGCACCATAGTTTGTGAAAATATAGGAAACATGCGTGTGACCTCTTGCAATCGGCTTCCCGGAAGCACCGATATGATAGTTGATTCTTAATGTACAGAAATAATCCAAAATTAATACAGTATGAAATGCTAACTTAAATACAGAACAGAGTCTGATGGCAACTTGGTTGAAAAATAATGATGTTATCCAGTCCCATAGAAGGAGATAAAAAAAAAATACAGAAACCAGAAAATGGACCACAGTGTTCTCTTTACCACTCTCTGTGCCAATGTACTCAGCAAGGACAACTTGTGTTGTATTTGGACTTTACTTTGTATGATCCGTGTCTGTCCCAATCCTATCCCACCCCATAACAATTCTTGTCAAATGTCTCAGCTTTAACCTGATGTTTAGTATTCTTGTTTACTAAAAAAATCGATTCAAATGTATGGCAAAATTTAACATCATATAGCACAATTAGAGGAGATGGACTGATTGTGTCATTGGTCAATGGTCATTTCAGGTTAACTGTAATCCAATCTGTTGGTTAATTGTATTTTGTAGTCCGAACATTGATCCTAACCCAGTGAGCCTCACCTAACTCACACATAACATTTTAGGTTCATGATGCCAAATGTATGACCATTGCGAATAGGTAAAAAATGACCAGTCGACCACATATACACACACAATAGAGAAACACCAAATCTAGATCTGAAGTTGTTTCCATCCTACCTGGTGATATCCCATGAGTCCTCCTAAATTTCTTCCCATCACCTTGAACTTTCAATTCCTCGTCCACATATTTCTCAATCTGCAAATAAAATCCCTCACAAAAATCACACATGTGAGCTACGGTTAATGCCACCTCCTTTGTAATTAGAGTTTACATTTATCCAAAAACAGCATTTCATAATAAATAAAATGAAATAGTTATCATTTTTAGGAAAAGGGCCTTACTTGTGGTGTTTACAGAAGGAGAAAAAAGACTGAAGAAAAACAAAGAAATTGAATAAATAAAGAAAGAAGCAAAAATTTTGTGATGGTGAAGGGAGCAGCAAACACCAGAACAAATTTTACTTTCAATTCGTTCATCATGTATTGTACCATAAGATGGTAGAGGTGTTCGTAAGAAGTAGCGTAAAGACTGTAAACCTTTTACTCGTGCACACCTTTAGCTCCAAGGCATCTTCCAATGTTGGATGGCCGACAAATGTTGCATCCAATCCAATCGAACGACAGACTTCAGCCTCAAATGGTAGGATACAGAAAACATGATCCACAAACTCTGAGAGCCTTTGAAGTCTTGATTCCCCTCCTCTCCATGCCCAGAAAGACGGAGCTACGTAGTGAAAATGTCGCAGACAAGCTAGTCTCTGCAGACCATGTCTTTCTGCAAAAAGTATTTTCCTATGTTTCTACACCATGTTTTTCTATTCTTCTCTTTGAATAAGAAAAATTGAAATGTAATTCAGAAACTAGGAGCCACAAAAGAGAGAACGACCTCGCAATTGTTTCAGAAAGCGAAAAGAAAATCCTTTTGAGTCCACTGTTAGAACAACATGTGGATGGAAACCAAGAGCTGCCTCAACTGTCTCTTGCAATTTGACCTGAATTTTTGAATGTTAAAGTTCAGACCAATTCAGTAGAAAATCACTAACCAGAACGAAACACGAGCAGAAGATTTGTCATCAGTCGATATGTGAAGTGAAAAATACATTCCATACAACTCATTGCTCACCCTGAACGTACTAAGGTGTGGTAACAACTCCCAGATCCCCATTACTGCAATATCTTCCATAGGAAACAAAGAATTGAATCCGTGTCGTGACATATTCAACCTAGCAAAATAATAAGAAACATGGGTATCATGAACCTGTAATTCTCCTATCTAACATATGTATTAGACATGGCATAGCACATAATGACGGTCAAAGAGATACTTGTGCATATGTGAATCATGAATTAAACAAACAACTTGAAAACTCGTTGGCATATATAGTAGAAGATAGAACAAACTAATTAACAGTCAACATCACGAAGTAGCCAATAAAATACCAAAACTAGACCATTCTTACCCTCCCACACCTGCAAAGCGAACAGGAAAAGGAGAAAGCTTATTCAAAGAGTTGATAAAACGCGAGGCAATAATGTCACCAGAAACCTCCCCAGCAACGATAAAGACTCTAAGCTCCCCATCTTTGGAAGCCAAACCTCTCACAGAATCTCGGCTTGAAACTGATAATGACCTTTTCACAAGCTGCAAGAAGCTCCTATTCATGCAAATCTCCACACTCCGCACACTTGTTGAAAACATACTCCTCCGCATCAGAATATCAAGGCCGAAGGAATAAATCAGTTTGACATGCTTACTTTTTCAAAAATATGTTTCTTTTACAGCTTGTTTGGTTCGACTTTTTGTGAGGAAGGGGGAGGAAAATTTTTGACCAATATCCCTCCCAACAGGCAAAATACCGAGAGCCGGCGGGAGGAAGAGGCAGAAGCAGCGGCAGATAATTTGGGAAGCGGGGAACTAAGAGAAAGGGCGGCGGAGAAGACGAGGGTAAGCGCCGTGGCGGAGGTAAAGTGATATTCCACCCATTCATCCGCGTCTCACCAAGAACACTCAAGCCACTCACCAAGCCGGGTATAAGCCTAAGTGCCTAACCGGTCCATGGCTTGAACGGGATCCACCCTGAAGATTGAACACATGGGTTAGGGGGTTGCTGTGACTAATTTACCGCAGCCCCAACTGTTAATTATCAGCCACTCATTTTAAAACTAATAAAAACTGATCAAGGGCTATTAACAAATGATAAATAAAATGTCAATATTTTTATTATCACTCACCTGCAAAAGAAAAAAGAGTAGCAATAACACTCGTACAAAAAAAAAAAGAAGAGGAGCAATAACATAAGTTATACCACCACCGAAATCTCCTTCATTTTTGTTCCCCACACGCACGAAAATTCCCCTTCATCTTTGTTCTCCCCTTGTTTTCACACATCTGCCGACACAACGCGAAAATCTCAACCCATGGCATGTTGCTCGGCTACTGAGACTAAAACTCCAGCCAGTTAAAACCCACTTCAACTTTCTCATTGCTCTGCACCACTCCTCAGCCATGGCCGCCGTACGACACCGTGAGGAGGAGCTCAGGTTGGGACTGGAGACGTCGGGCCGACCTTTCATGTAGGCGTGAGGAGGAGCGCCCTGTAAGAGGAGCTCGAGCTCATGTCGTGACCGGG